AGTCTACCACACAACCCTCAAACCCATACAACTCTCTGTCACACACACAACTCTCACACACTCACAACTCTCACATCCAGTCTATCACACAACCCTCACACACACTCACAACTCTCACATCCAGAGTCTATCACACAACCCTCACACACACTCACACTCACAGCTCTCCAATCCAGAGCCTATCACACAATCCTCACACCTACACAACTCTCACACACTCACACACACACTCACAACTCTCACATCCAGAGTCTACCATACAACCCTCACACCCATACAACTCTCTCTCACACACACACAACTCTCACACACTCACAACTCTCACATCCAGAGCCTATCACACAACCCTCACACCTACACAACTCTCACACACTCACACACACACTCACAACTCTCACATCCAGAGTCTTTCTCACAGCCTTACACCTACACAACTCTCACACACTCACACACACACTCACAACTCTCACATCCAGAGTCTACCATACAACCCTCACACCCATACAACTCTCTCTCACACACACACAACTCTCACACACTCACAACTCTCACATCCAGAGCCTATCACACAACCCTCACACCTACACAACTCTCACACACTCACACACACACTCACAACTCTCACATCCAGAGTCTTTCTCACAGCCCTCACACATAGGCACATATACCCACACAGCTCTCTCACACACAGACTTACACTCTCACACACACATACACTCTCACACACAATTCTCATCCTGCATTCTCTCACAACCCTCACACACTCACGTCCTCACACTCATGCACACACATACTCTTACATGTTCCCATGTTCTCACACAGGCTGGGAGGCTCGCAGCCCCCCACACTCCTGCTTCCTCACCGGGACATGCCCTGGGCTACCCCCGTTCCCCACCGGCCCCTGCATACTTGCTGCACAGTCACGTGCGTGTGCGTGCACACTCCCTGATATACTGCCTCATGGCCTCGTGCTGAGATGCTGGACACACAACCGCACACTGGCTGAGCTCCCTCCAGTGTATGCCCCGATGCCCCGACCCACACGTTTCACCCACAAGTTCACACATCTCCATGTGCACATCACTCATGTGCAGCCTCACTCCCGAGTTTGCACTGGAATCCTCAGGCCCCTGTGGCAGGCAACGTCTGCCTCCCCGGGGAGCCTGGGACACCGAGAGCCACCTGAGGTGACTGCAGTGGTTTCTCCCATCTCTGCAGGGCTGTATTGGGTGGAGAGGGCCTGTGACCGAGGGTATAGGACAGCCCTCAGGAGTGAGATGGGAGAGAACTGGGGAGCTGCTCCAAACCCACGGAAGGGAGAGCTTTGTCCAGGTCAAAGCTGGCTGGGCATGGGAGTGAGCTTCCCATCACAGGAGGTATGCAAGCATGGGCCAAAACACTCTTTGATAGAGAAGGCGTGGAGGTGCCTCCAGCCTGCCTTAGAGGGAGATGGGTTAGAGGGAGAGTCCTGCAGGAGCCTCCAGCCAGACACCCTGGGAGTCAGAGCTGGGGGTGGAGGAGCTGGGCCAGGGCAGAGGGGGCAGGAGAGGGCGGGCGGGGGCAGGTAAGGGTGGGGCCAGCCGTCCTGGAGGGTGGGGGCTGTCTCGCCGTGGTTGCCATAAGTCAGCTGGGATGGACAGTTTCCTTTCTCCTGCATGATTTACTGCCTGCTTTGGAGGGGTGAGGCTCATTCTTTGAACTTCAAAGGGAGCAGTGAGTGCAGCCACACTGGGGTGACAGCCTGCTGAGGCTGGGGGTCCGACCCCGGTCAGCCGGAGAGGCCTGGGGTCCTGGGTCTATGGATGCGCACCAAGCTTGCCAAGCCTCCGTCTTCTCATCTGTAAAATGTGGTCCTAGCCACAGCCCCCGAGAGGAGGACAAGATTTACCTCCACGGCCCGCTTCAGATGCCAGGGGCTGTGACCCCAGAAATCTGTTCTAATTTCTCAGTCTAGGAAGCTCTGTTCAGGACAGAGAGGGACCTGTCGCCTCTCCTGATTTTAGGCTTACTTACACATTTCTTCTACCCACGATTCCTTTATCATCTTCACAAAGATGGAAATGAAGGGAAGCTTTCTTATGTTTTTCTTTCCTTATTTTACAGGTGGGTTAATTGAGGCCCGGAGACATTAGGTCCACCTCCTAACCACACAGAGAGGCCTCTGGCCCTGTCTCTAGTCTCTGCCCAAAACGGCCCCAGGCCTGCGCACGCAGGGATGGAGCCGGGCCGCATTTGTTTGCTGTTTTTCATCCCTTTGCTGAAGGACTGGCTGGCTGGGCTCTACTGCTGAGCCCCATGTAACCAGAGCCAGCTTCCCATGTCTGGGCCTCCGTTTCCTCATCTGTCAAAAGGGGCTGTACACTCGTGCTCTGAAGCTGTTATCTAGAAAGAACCCCAAGCCCCATCCCGGCAGCCGTGTGCCTGGGTCGGGCCTGCAGGTGTGTTTTCCTTGTCCGGTGTTACAACAAACATCAGGGCGGGTGTCAATGTTCAAATGTAGGAACACTGTTTCCCATACAAATTTGGGTTTCCACCTTCTCTTGAAGAATCTTACTTTGGTAGTACTGGTGTTCCCAAGCTGCTAATCTCTGGCTGGAGTTGGGGGCAGCACCCCACTAAGGAGGAGGATGTGTCGTTCCCCACCACACCCCTTTTGAGCCAGGGCCTTCATTAATGTGCCATGCGTGGCCCCTAAGCTGCCTCAGTTTGCGACTGCCAACTCATCTGAACTGACCTGCTTGGACTCCCTGCTCTGTTTCTTACCTGCTGTGTGACCTTGGGCAAGTCACTTAGCTTCCCTGGCCCTTGGAGTGGACTAAAGCACGTGGTGCCTGGAGCAGGCTCAGCACAGGCCTCTTGGCATTTTGTCTGTGCTCAGGAGGCATCGTGGCTGACTGCTGCTGAGCTCGGTGGGGACAGAGGAAGGAGAGCTCTGCCCTGCCCTCCTGCATGGTGTCAGATGGAGGCAGCGGGCTGTGGGGAGCAGCTCAGGCTGTGAAGCCAGAGGGGCCAGCAAGTAGAGCCCTGGGAAGCTAGACACCCAAAGAGGTGCCATTGAGGAGGGAGGCTGGGCACTGAGAGGGCTGCTGGGAGGCCAGGAATGGGGGACAATATGAGAATGGCCCCGCCTCAAGTGGGACAAAGAGAAGGTCAGTGAGACTGCAGCTCATCTGGGAGGGGGCGCAGGGGTAGCAGGGTGGCTGGCAGAGGGCAGAGGAGGCCACCAGGGCCCTCCAATCACACAGTGGGGATGGGGAACCATGGAGGATCTTGAGTGGGGGCACCTCCGCTCTCCACAGTCAACAGAGATGGGAAAGGATGCAGTCACCTAGTGCCTCTCCTCAGAGGTTCCCGGGCCCTCGGACAGACCAGTGCCAGGGAAGGGCGGGCCTGGGTCTTCACAGCTGCGCTGCGATCTGCCTGCCCTAGATGTGAAGCTGTCCTTGCCCAGGGGAGTCACCCAGGACTTTGGGTCTCAGCTCTACCTCCATGTGGCTCTGGCAGGTTCCTTTGCACCCCTGGAGCCTTGGTTTCCACATCCATAAAACTCAGAGATGAACCACTTGGTCTAGAAGTTTCTTTTAGTGTAGGCAAGTTCTGGCTCTTCATCTTCAAGGGTGAATGTGTTCCTTAGGGGAGGGGTATGGGGACAACTGCCTTTAATCCCCTGCCGGTGAGCAGGGAGCGTGCAGCCAGAGCTGAGGTTCTATTTCTGGTGGGGGGTGGTGGCAAGCGCATTCTAGGGAGGGGGAACCCTCCCAATCCATCTTTTGGTGCTGCCACTAGCCAGAAATACACAAAGACAGAATATTTGTTGCGCATTTACTATGTGCTGGGTCTTGTGTGGGGCCCCATAGAGCAGACACCTCAGGCAGAAATGCACGACCTACCCCTTGTCCCCAAATGTGGCAGCCAAGGGCCTCCCCAGCTCACCCAGAGATGGGAGCTGGTTGTACCAGAAGGAAACCCTCAGCTGGGAATGTGTGCTGTCTTTTAGAAATGATTTGAAGGCCATAAATTTTCGGTAGCAAAGCAACCCTCAGACTTTTCATAACGCTGAAGAGTTTAGACTTGTCTCGAGGGGTAACAATTTCACCCAAGTAGTGCACCAGCTCCAACTATTTGTTATTGCAAAGGTTGATTTTTTTTTTCCCCTTAAGGTGGAATCCTCAGATTTCATGCTCTGCTTTAACTTGTTTTATTTCACCTGGAACACAAATAAAAATAGCCCACAAGATGTATAGATCGGCCTGAGAGAAGTTTCTTCCTTCCTCCTGGTGTGGAGGGAGGATGGAGGGAGGACGCAGAATTGAGTGTTCATGTGTCCTGGGCCTTGCTCTGGGCGCGTGGGAGACCCTGGCAGCCTCTGGCCAGGGCTGGGTGGGGTTGTGAGGACCTCTCCAACTGGTTGGATCCTCAGGACAGCTCCCCCACAACTTAGCTATTTTACAGTGAGGAACGAAGACCTGGAGGCATCTGGCATCCTGCCCACAGTCTCGCCGCTGGGCATTTTGGGAGCCAGGGTTTAAACATAGGCCTGTGTGACTTTAACGCTTGTGTCCATTTTGGTGCAAATCTCTTGAATCTCACTCAGCACTCACCATCGGAAGCCATGCTCACCCTCTCTCCAGCTGAAGTGGGAAGCTTGAGTGTGAACAAGACCGCAGGGAGAGGATGTTTAGCATAGTTGGTTCCAGGGCTGATTTGAAGTCTCCTTAAGCACTGTGGAAGCCCCGTTTCCATGCCAACCGCTGCTCTGTGCCACTTACCGGCATTTATATCTACTCGCTAAAGCAGGCCCTCAAAGAATGCCAAAGGGAGCACTTGGGGCTCAGAAGCAGCTTATTTGCATTCTCTTTGCATATTCAGTAATTTTTCTGGATTTTCCCAAAATGGACCAGCTGACACAGTGAATGTGTTGTCTCTAGGGCCTGACTTGACAGGATAAAAGGGTCTCAAAATTGTGCTGTTTGTTGTCAGAAGGGAGGGTCTGAGGCTGCTGAGCCTTGCGTGGGAGCAGGGGCCTGTGGCTGAGCCCTGCCTTCTGCAGGCTGCCCCAGGACAGGGCACGCAGGCGAACACAGGGCTGGGCTCAATGGGGTGGGGAGCAGATTCTAGCTCAGTCAGCCAGAATGTTCTCTATTGAGATACAGTTTTTTGTTTGCGAAAATCCTCAACTTTGGCGACCACCACGAGGTGCTTTATGTTAGGGCGCGTTCTCCCGTGAGTGAGGCGTGGTTGTCCTATCCCACAGATGAAGAAGGGAAGTCACTTGCTTCACCGCCAGGGAAGGGCTCCAGCGAGACATGGGCTCCTGAAATTGGAGGTCTGTGAAGGCCCCGGGAGGTACAGGATCTGGTGAGCTGAGCAGGGGGGAGAAGGCATTCCAGGGTGGGGACGGAGGTGTGGAGGGGGTGTATTCGCTATCATAAAGAACCGCTAACGGGGGAGCTTAAACAAGAGAAACAGTTCCTTGCAGTTTTGGAGCCTGGAAGTCCAAGACCAAGGTGTTGGCAGGGTTGGTTTCTCCTGCAGCCTCTCTCCTTGCTTGTAGATACTGTCTTCTCCCTGGGTCCTCACATGGTCTTCCCTCTGGGCATCTGTATTCTAATCTCCTCTTCTTATAAGAGCACCAATCAGCTCGGATTAGGGCCCACCCTAAGGACCTCATTTCACCATAATCACCTCTTTAAGGGCCTGAGATACAGCTCTGGTTCTGAGATACTGGGGGTTAGGACCTCAGTATGTGGATTTTGGAGAGTGACACAATGCACCCAAAGCAGTGGAAATTGTCATGTGGGCGTTGATGGGAACACTGAGTGGGAAAGGAAGATGTAAGAGGGTGGGTGGGGGAGAGCTTGGTTCTGGAAGCCTGGCCCGACAAGCTGAGGATTTGGTCCTCTCCTCCTGTGTGATGGACACATGCCACCGTTCCCACGGCAGGGGGTTTCAGGATGAAAAGATGTTGGAGGTCAACTAGGCTGGTGCCAGTTGGCTTGGACTGGGTTGGGGGTACCAACGGAGACAGCTGTCTTTCCAGGAGCAGCACACAGCTCGTGTGGGGTTTTCTTTAAACAGGCCAGTTTTCTGGGGGCTTAACGGCCCTCCAGTCTGGGGAAAGTCAACAATCTTGCTCAGGGTGCAAGAACAACATCTGACTCATCTCCATGTGCCCAGCCTGTCATGGCACAGAGCCTGGGATGGAAGAGGCACTCATTGGTGTCTGTCAAAAACCCAATGTCAGCCAGGACACTGGCTGTGAGCAGCAGGTGGCTTCTGTTGGTTATACTTCTTGTCAGCTTGAAAAAAAATGTGTCTTTTAGCCTGGGCTCCCAGCTAAACACAGAGCCTAAGGCAAGGGTTTAGGACCTGGCAGTTTATTTTGAGGTGTAATCCCAAGGAGAAGGAGGATTGAGGCTAGTGAGATGGAAGCCCCCAAGGCCAGTCCAAGGACATTACTGAGTCAGTCACTGCTGTGGGCACCGAGGGTTCAAGCCTGCTGGGGGCCCTCTGTGGAGTGTGTCGGGGCCTCAGCGTTGTCCTCCGAGGGAGGAGGTTAAGTCCCTGTGGAGTGGGGTGTCCCTTCCCTGCCTGCACTTCTCGGTTTGCCCATGTGTCAGCATGGCTCTGGGGGAGAGTACCCTGTCCCATGTGGTGGCTTCAGCAGGCCTATGAGAGATCGATCATCAGGGCTGGCATGTGAGGCGTTCTGGGTTGATCCTATGCAGAGCTGGTTGTTGCAGCCGAAGCTGGAGGGCAGGCATGGCTCAGCACATGCGAGGTGGGGGACAAGAGGTGTCAGATACCTCTTCCAAGCTGCAAGAAGTATAATTAGTAGAAGCCACCTGTCACTCAAAGCCAACGTCCTGGCTGACATTTGGTTTTTCACAGACACTGATGGGTGCCTCTTCCACGCCAGGTTCTGTGCTGTGCCATGCTGAGCACATGGAGCTGAGTCAGATGTTATTGCATCCTGAGCTCTGGACATCAGTTAAGGGGACCATTGTCGTCTTCTGAGGGGGGCTGGGAAGAGGCCTCTATGGACTACAGGGCAGGCACAGAGCAGGGACTTGCCATTTCTGCCTGGGGTGGATATGGGGTGGATAGGGTCCTCCCATATCAGCTCTAGATCTTAGTTACAATCGCCCAAAAGTGACTCTGGCTTGGGCAGAGAGAAAGGTTTGGGTGGTTGTGGCAGCTGCTGCTGCTGATCTCCCCTGCACCTGTTCTCCCTCCCTCCTGCCTGGGGGAGGGAAGTGCCACTCATGGATCAGAACCCTGGAGGCTGTGAAGTCATGCTCTAGGCAGAATGGAGGCATCCTGGCAAAGAAGCATGAACTGAGGCCCCTGTGGGCACCTGCTAGACCCCAGATACGAAATCTGGGTGCTGCCATTTTTCCTGAGCACATTGATAGGCATGTCCCTCAGGCTGACCTGCAGTTAGTGATGGAGCTCTGGCCCCGGGACTGTGGTCAGAAGTAATGCCTGCCATTCTGAGGTCTGGCCCAGAAAAGGTGTCCTCCTCCTGCCGACAGTCTATCTCCACTCACTGGCTAGACGGTGCCAGGGTGCCCTCCAGCCCACAGAGTGGAGACACTGGTGCACAGCATGGAAGGAACTTCAGTCCTGAAGTGACTGTGTGAAGCTGAGCCTCCCTGAACTATAACAAGAGTGAGAAATAGACCTTCGCGGTGATGAGCTGCTGAGATTTGGGGCTGTTAGCTTTCTCCAACAATACAAAAACTGGTCATCTGAGATAAGCATGACCATACAAACCTGTAAGGTGCGGCACTGGCTGTGGGGCGACAGTGTGGAAATTGATATTAGATGCTGTGAAATATGGCAGTCCATGTTATGAAGGGGCAAAGCATTTGGAAGAACGGTTGCCTGTGATAGCTGGGAGGACCAAGCACACCAGCATTGAGCCTGTAGCTCCAGGGGAAGGGGTTGGAAGGAATTAACGGATTAGTGTGTCTTGGCTACCGTGGGTTGCATTTGGCAAGGTGTTACAGGAAAGAGATGAGCTCAGGAGAGTCACAGCTGGCTTGAAGCAGCAACAGAAGGGGACAGAAAGAGGGGCTTTTCGGGGTTCGAAAACCAAGCACATCTGGACCTGAAACAGTAGGATATAAGAGTGAGAAACATTTCAGGCTACAGTGAAGACTAGAAGAAGGATGTGACATTTCCACTCAATTACGTAGCCTCAAGATGGTCATGTTGGGAGGAAAAGGCAGGGAAGCAAAGAAGCAGGGAAAAAATTAATGGGACTGGACAGTTAAGTCTATGGGAGAACTGTGGGTGTGATCGTTGACTGACAGGCGAATAGATCAGAAAGTTAGCTCTGGAGGGAATTGCACTAATAAAGAAGCGATGATCCTGGAAATAAGAAGAGTCTTTGACTGAAGCTTAAAATATCCCTGTCCACCCCCCACTATCCAGGAACAAGTAGGCTCTGTAAACTCTATGGTGTCTGAGGAGGGAACTCTACTACACAGCCACATCGAGGGGGCCGTGGAGGAAAATTAACAAGGAAGAGCTCATACAGGGTGAACTGGGCCTGGGGGAGGTGGGGGGTTGTCGAGAAAATTTTATTTTATTTGAGATAGAGTCTCACTCTGTCACCAGGCTGGAGTGCAGTGGCTCGATCTTGGCTCACTGCAACCTCCGCCTCCTGGGTTCAAGTGATTTTCTTGCCTCAGGCTCCCAGGTAGCTGGGATTACAGGCGCACACCACCAACCCTGGCTAGTTTTTGTATTTTCAGTAGAGGTGGGGTTTCACCATGTATTGGCCAGGCTGGTCTCAAATTCTTGGCTGCAAATGATTTGCCTGCCTCAGCCTCCCAAAGTGCTAGGATTACAGTTGTGAGCCACCGTGCCCAGCTAGACAAGGAGTTTTCTAAGAGAGCAGAGCCAGAGTCTAATCAGGGGACACCTTGGCTGCCAGGATAGGGAAACCTCTCAGTCTCTGCCCCTGTGCAACGGACCCTGAGCGATGGACCCTGCAATGGACTGCCCACACTGTTGAGTGGCTGTGATTCCTTTCTCTTTGGAGTGGGAGTTTTTACTGGGGTTATCTTATCCCTGCCTCACCCTCACATTCTCTCTCTCTCTCTCTCTGTGTGTATGTGTCTGTGTATGTGCACATGTGTGTGTAAGGGAGCAACGAACACATTTGTTCTATAGCCCACAGGTCACCAGACCATACAGTGGCTGGATGAGTTTCAGGTTGTCTCCCTTGGGGAGAGGATGAGCTTTTTCTATGTGTAGGAAGGAGGGCCTCATGGGTATGTGTTGGCAGGGGGCAGACTGTGGCAGAGACTGCTAGTGGATGGCAATATTCATGTCACCTCCTTTCCTCCTGGGCACTACGTGAGGCCACATTTCTGGCTCCTAGCAGTTAGCTAGGGCCATGTGATTGAACTATGGCCAAAGCAATGTGGACAGAAGGGACACCATCCCCAGGCTTGGCCTCCAAAACCCTACATCATCTTCCCCATTCTCTGTTTTCATTCGCCAGCTGGATGATGCCAAGGTGACCTTGGTGGCCACATGTCAAAGATGGAGGTGCATGAAATGGAAGGAGCCTAGATCCCTGAATGACTGTGTGGAGCTGAGTGCCTGGGCCACCCTGCATTGGATGGTGACGTGAGTAAGAAACCTTTGCTGTTTCAATCCACTGTGATCTAGTGGCTCTTTGTTATAGGATTAACTTATTTTGACCAATACACGCTTATCTTGGCCCCCTCCAAGCCTGGATGATCTTTAAAAGTCATGTTAATCTTCTGTGGAAAACTTGTGGCTGGTCCTGTTGCTTATAGGGCAGTCACAAACCCTTACTGCAGCCCATAGAGCTCAGCGCCAGCCCTCTCCTATCTTACCAACCCTTTCTTCTCACTCTCTCCCTCTCGCTCTCTGTTCTCTGGTTATGCTGGCTTGCTTTCTTTCCTTCAAATATCCCATGCTGTCTTATCTCTCAGCATCTCCCTTCTGTTCCTTCTGCCTGGAATTCTCCTCTTGCACTGTGTTGTCAGGGTCACCCCTAGTATCCTTCAGATCTTAGCTCAGGGAAGATTCCCAGTATCCTCAGTTTGATTGGGTTCCCACCATGCCAGTTGTGGATCTTAGTTACAATCACCCAGAAGTGGCTCTGGCTTGGGCAGAGAGAAAGGTTTGGGCAGTTGTGGCAGCTGCTGCTGATGATCTACCCTGCATCTGTTTCCCTCCTTCCTAGCAGATCCCAGTTTAGTTCAGAGGAATGATGTGTCCTTGAAGCTCCTTCCCCAGATGGCCTACTGGCTACAGGTGGCCACCAGACCCAGTTCTGTCTAGAGGGATGTGATGCTCTGCTTGGTGGGTTC